GAACATATTATGGCTAAGGCTACAGTTATACACGTCGTAATAATAATATTAAACACCCTGTCTGTTGACAGTCATCAACTCTTCTCTCTAGTTATCCTTGACCAGATGTACCCTGTAGAAACTCATAAGCATGCCTAAGCATTTAACAGTCTAACTAGACATCCTATCTCCACTAAACATTTCTAATACATAAAGTATCTATCCAATATCTATCTGACTAAAAATACCTAACAACTTTTAACACTTAGTGAATTGCAGCTGTGACATTTATAGAATAAATGGGGTTGTTTTGGACCTCAAATTCTGTTCAGTTTTAATGAGAAATCATTTTCTGGAACATGTGGAGTAACTATAGATTTGTCCTTTAGTTTGAAATGAAAGTTTGAGTAGGCTGACATTCAAGTCCTCTATAGATAATGACAGCCCCCCCCCCACAAACTGTCAGGGTTGGCGCGTGAGGCTGCCAATAATGTCGTGGTGAAATTAAATTTCCAGAAGAGGATACCTAAAACAAAACCGTCTCTTTAATAAGAGCACAGGCACGGGAAAAAAAAAAACCAATTACAAAAAAAAACATGATACAAGACACGGTGTAAACACAAAATGCACTTACAGGTCAATTTATACAGTCCAGACTCAGAGCCAGCGAATACATACATCCAAGGAATCCAAAGTTCATTGTCCAAAATGGAAGCCCGATAATTCATACACAGTAGGCAGTCCGAAGCAAAAGGACAAGGCAGAATACAGTCAAAGTATACGATCCGAGTCAGAACAAGAAATGCCAAAACAAAACCGCTGGCGAGTCAGAGCTGGAGTCTAGAACAATCTAGCAGCATCCTGATGGGAGGATACTGCCTAAATAGGGGTGAAAACAGGTGCAAACACTCAGGAGCAGGTGAAACTAATGTGAGTGATGACTAAAATAAAAAGACCGAGACTATGGTGAAAACAAAAACAGGAAGCAATGTCAAAATAAAAGCACGAGAAAGGAAACAGGTGGGACCGAATCATGACAAAAACAAAAAATGGATGACTGCACCCCTACCTGAATCCTATTCCTGTGGCTATCCAAACGACCAAAAATCAGGTGTTTCTCACTTTTGTCTTTGACTTTAGATTTCAAAGCTGATGCTGAAAATTATTTATTTTTCAGTACTGTTGGGTGAGGAGGTACGTTATATGTGGTACTGACCATCTTTAACACATTACAAACGGCAATCAGTGATTTTGTTTGTTGTCTTATTTTGCTTGTCTTCATCATTTCTCCACGGAGCTAATTGGAGCTGATAATTGCTACAAGGCTCATAACATATTGACCTGAGCTCTGTAATAAGCTGGTGAACACCACCAAAAATATTCATTTCTGAATATTGATATAATTAATATGTCTCTTTGTGTCCCTATCAGGTGAGACAGTGTTGAATAAACAAATTTTCCCTTGTCATATTTCAGAACCAGTCAGCATTCTCATTAAAATGTCAGTCTATATTTGCTGTGTGAACTGTTGTGGATTTCAGCATAAAAATAGCAATTGAACAGTAATATTTTCCATGTCGAACTTAATTATATGATTCACACCGATTACTCCAGCAGCACAGAAAGGCTCGGGCCATTTTTCCTTTGCCTGCTGAGTTTTGTGAGCAACGTATTACGTGATCACTCACATGCAGCATGAACAGACTAGGATCAATTAATAATTGAAAACCTTTAAACTACTTGAAGAGCGGATTGGAATCTACCTTAAGTCAGAGGCAGGCAGTGTCGAAGGGCACCAGGTTAAATAGACATGATTAATCAACTTGATAACAGTATTTGCATTCATTTGAAACAATGCATGTGTAAACAGCAGCCACATCCCACTGACAAACTAATTTAACTGTTTGCGTGTAGTGTGTATTACTGTATTGTGTGCTGATTAGGGATGTAACAATACCAAAAACTCACTGTACGATATTGTCACAGTAAAAAGTCCATGATATATTTGTCACAATATTAAAGATGAAAATACGAAAGATCAAAAATGCCTTTTGCTAAATAATAAATCAGTGTTTTTTATACGATTTTCCTTTTAAACTAGTGTTTTTGCTTTCCTTCTTTATTTAAATAAAACCAGCCAGCCATGACCACCAGGCCAGTCATGGCTGTCAACATGGCATGGAGAGGTGCCACACTGATCACCATCACGCAACACCAATTTCCAATTAACCTGTTATAAAATGCACATCCAGTTATTTCATAGGCATTACAGTATGTGGGCAAAATGCAGGCCACCCTGTTGACTAAAACCCAACAGTCTTTATGAGAAGACCAGACAAGAGTCCCTTGGACTAGTCCACCCTGCTGAGGATGAAGACATGAACAAGTTTCTCTCAATCTTGTCTGGACATAAGACTTCTGAGTTTTGCTAATTTGTTAAAAATGATGTTAGAGAGCAATTAGTAATGTAATTAACTTTTCAGTGTATAATTAGTAATTGCTTATAGTTTTCTTGTAACTTGTCCTACAGTGCCTACTAGCATACTAGCTCTATCTCCATTGTGTGAGAGTGATTCCCTGGGCCTCTGCTAGTGACTGGAGCTATAAAAGTTAGTTTACACAGCAGAAATGACCAAATACATTGATATAGCAGCTCCTCAACCTCATCATTTTCCTACAGATGGCAGTGCCCCACTGCTGCCATCTATAGACAGCCTCCTTTCATAACAGATTGCTCCCAGTGATAACTGCTGGAGTCAGTGTGATGCTGCTACTGCTCACTGCGGCCATCTTCCCACAAGAAGCAGTAGATAATGATTTCATCATTTCCTCAATTATTGACAGCTCTTGAGCTCCAGTGTTAAGTTTCCAGCACTGTAGAGGGAATTAACATCCGTAAAGTATTATACAGTTTGTGTGTGCGTGTGTGTGTGTGTGTGTGTGTGTGTGGGGGGGGGGGTTTAACTAGACTTGCAGCTCTCAGGGCTCAGAATGAGGAGCTCAGATATGACAGGCTCATCAAATAATTTGTTTCATACTGCTGTGGTTAGACTACCGCTGCGTCAAAAGGCTTTGTCCTAAAAATGACCTTCTCCCTGCTGAGCTGCCAATCATTACTCATCACATTAGACACATTCTCAGCTCCACCTTGCTGTGCTGCCTTTTAAACACTCCCTTTCTTTGTCTGCATTTGATTCTTCCCCTGCATTTTTCTCCCATTTGACAAATTCATGTGGGCCAGGTTCGAGCCTACCTCTTTTTCAGCTAACCAGCTTTTACCTCAGCCTTACAAAACTTCCACCAGAGACCCCATTGTGTGGTCCTATAGCAGCACTTGCAATAGAGCAGCAGACAAATGACCCTTGATTGCAGTTTGACTCTGCAAATATAGTGGCAGCACTACTGGCTTCGAGTTTTTTGTCCATTTTACTCTCTCATTAAGGTGAATGGATGTCTTCCAGTGACATTTCCAGCTAGTTTTTTTGTAATAGTGAAAGAGGTGCTCAGTTCAGTATTCAAGATCTAAAGAGCTTTGCATAAGAAGTTTTTGTCACCAAAGAATAATGCTAACACTACTGAGATATTTACAGATATTTACTGTTTTTACTCTGCTATTTCTCAGCTTCTTAAATGCCCATCACCCTGTTGTTCAGTGCATTGTTGAGAGTGATAATTGCAAATAGCATTACAGTACCTCAAGCTGAAAGGATCCCTTTCATTGTGACTGACAAGCTTGTCACAAACAGCCACATGTAATAGAAGGTATCACACCAATCTTTCTTTCTTTGGAGAAATAGCTCTGTTGTTCTGTTGCACAGAAACTTTGAAAGCAGTTAAAGTTTGAATAAAGCCATATATATTCTTCTCTGTAGCAGGGACAATGTGCCTAACACCAGCAGTAGCTGCCAACACAGGTTATTTCTGAGAAAGTTTATTTATATACAAGGATATTTGCATGTAAGCTGCACACTGCCTTTCACATAAATGTAGTAAATGGTGACATACAATAGGAAATGGTCCTCAGACAAAAGAAATGGGCCACACTGCTGAAGAAGCAGATGCTTTTTGAAAGCAATTTTGTATCATTATGTTTCTGCAGTCAGCAAATGATGAAAATCCTTAGCATTTTGTACTTTTTACAGCTGTAATAACTCATTCATTTTCCTCTTCTCTTTCTGTTTACAGCTGCCCTGCAGGTGTCCATATCCTTGAACAAAGTGGAGTTAAGTGTCGGAGAGTCCAAGTTCTTCATCTGCACAGGTACAAATGCCACACACATTGCTCATTTTTATGTATTTATGTATGTGTGTCTGGAGACCAGTCAGAGAAGCAAAAGGGGAGTTTACATCAACACTTATAAAGTCTATTTGTTGTTAATATGACAGCGAATAACACACAATCCATGTGGTCCATATGGTGAGTGACCCTTTGACCCTGCTGTGACTGGATCCACGAAAGGGGCACCCCCTCCCCCCTCTCATCCCTCCTCCTCATTGTCCTCTCTGAACAGTATACTGTATTAACACTCAGGCATAACAAAGAACCTGCCACTAGTGCCAGTGGCTCAGTAGGGTGGCAACACCTTCTGGCAGGGCTCTGCTCTCTGCCTCTTCTCTCCTGCCAAGCCGCTCACAATGGCGCTAACAGCCAGGGGGAGGAGTGGCACACTGGGAGGAGCCTCATATGGGTGTGGAGATCTAAGGAAGACAGAACTGGGGGTTGGAAAATGGAAGTGAATGGAATCAAATTGGCAGGAAGTGAAAAGCAAAGGTAGAAGCTTTCACAACAAAAGCTCAGACCTGAGAAGAATGGGTAAGGCTTTGAGGCAAAAGAGTGTTGGAGGTGGGTGATAAGTAGCCACTGTCAATGTTTGTGGGAGGAAGTGTTTGTGTCACTCGTTCCTTTCATTTTTCTTTTCCAACACGGGTGTTTGCACCAGGCCTGGTTTTTTACCATATTCACATGCAGTCCTGCCAAGTGAGGTGGGTGAAAATCAGGGCTGAACAGTCAGAGGCCAAAGCAAATAGCCCAGTGAAATCGAAGTGAGTCTGGAAAGCAGTAAGTCTTTTAAAGTGCCGTTTTGGCTTTAAGTTGCTGTGGCCTATTGTATGAATCATGCACACATAAATATGGATTTTACAAAAGAAAAGAACAGAAGGCAAATAAAGACAATTATGTTGTTTGTTGATTCATAGGCTTGAGCTGTATGTAAGGAAAGACAGAACAAAGAAGTAAATGTTGTTCTTGAAATAAAGGAACCTTGATGAAATCAATTTTTTTTTGTTCAGTACTAACTTTTTTTGTTTCAGATATTTGCTCAGAAAAATTGGCAGTAGGGTAAAATGATAGAACACCAGATCTTTTCAAAGAAAGCACTTCCTTTCTCATAAAAAAACTGCTCAAATGAACCGTTTTAGGTCAAACTGAGACCAAACACTGATCAACATGGGACCCTGGAGGAAGACCGCTTTGATTACATAATGGTTCTGAATCCTGCTGGGTGCCTTTTTTCCATGTCTGTTCCCAAATCTTTCATATTGTCAGGTCTGCACAGCTTTTGTTTTTTTCTCTCTCACCTGACAGGTGCGGTTACCCTGGGTTACGCCTACAGCTGTGTCCATTCAGTAATTACCCTCTTGCCTTCTTAAACCCCGCTCAGACAGTCAACAGACGCTGGTTTGTTGAGACATATCCTCCACTTTACTCGGCTCCCTGAAAACGACATATCCTACCGGAGTTTTGTCTTTCAGCGTAGAACGTAGCCTTTCCTCTTAAAGTTACGATCTGATAACCCGACCTCACCTCCTGTTTTTTTTTTTGTGTGTTTATGCTTGTTTCCACGCAGAGGCTCCAGTTTTCTAGTACTCTTTTGTTTTTTTTCCTCTTCGACGCCAGTGTGTTTGACGAGGAGGACTCACTCACCTGTGCTGATCTCCCAGTGAAACCACCCAGGTGCTCCAGCTGCCTTGCCTCTGCCTCTATGTTTTTGCTTGTTGGTGACTGGACAATAACTGTTATTAAACCCGGCCAAAAGATAATGGACTCCGCAAGCTCGGGCACCAGCAACCCCCTCGATCCGTCCACCCTGGTCCAATATGGGATGCAGATCAACCACCTGGGACAGTCTCTACAGCAGCAGATGGACGTAATCAGGGACCTCTCCCAGCAGGTATCACTCCTTACCTTCTTTCTCACACACCTCGCAGCTTCCTCCACTCACACCTCACCAGGGGACCCGGGCTCTTATTCTGCCCATCAGCATAGTCTGGTCCGAGAGGCTCCCATCCTGGACCCTGAACCATTCAGCGGTGATGTGGAGAAATTCAGTCGAGTTCCGCATATTGGCTGCAGAGGCGGGGGGGGGAGACCAAGCACTATGAGGAGCCTTTTGGCATGGGCTCAGGGATTACGTAAAGGACGCACTCACCACCCGGGATGATGCCCAGGATTTTGACTCTCTTGTTGATCTAGCCATCAGATTGGACAATAGGTTGAGAGAGCGCCACAAGGAAGGGATGGCACCCTCTCTCTGCACATGACCCGCACCAGTCTCGACCAGGCCAGGCAGTCGCCCTCATATAATGTCACCCCCTCTCATGGCTTCGGACTCAGCCAACGCCATAGCCAAGGAAGAGCCCATGCAGCTCGGTCGTACTCGGCTGACCCCGCAGGAGCGGGCCCAATGAATGAAGATGGGAGCATGTTTTTACTGCAGCGACTTGGATCACCTACTAGGCAACTGTCCCATACGGCCCAAAGACAGAGCCCGCCAGTGAGAGTGGGGGCGCTGGCGGGCGCACCTCGGAACACCACCTGTGTCAAGTTACCAGTGACACTAACAACAGAGGGATGTTCCTTTTCATGTACAGCCCTTGTGGACTCCAGAGCAGGGGAGAGTTTAATTGATCAGAGCTTAGTCGAGCGTTTGCTCCTCACGCCTGAACCCCTCAAATGCAGACTAGAGATGTGCTCAATGGATGGTCGTCCCATGGCTCCCATAACCCACCAAACACCACCTATACAATTCATCATCACCGGCAATCAACAAGAACGCTTGCAGTTCAAGATCCTGCCGACACTGGAGTCGCCGCTGGTTCTGGGTTACTCCTGGCTGCGTTCCCACAACCTGGCAGTCTGGGTTTATCACACAGTGGAGCCCCACCTGCTCCGCCTCTTGCCTCCATTCAGCCAGTCCCCCTTCCATCACCACCGACACTGCCCCCCCTGCAGACAAAATTGATTTTTCACAAGTCCTGGCAGAGTATCATGACCTAGGACAGGTATTCAACAAGGACCCAGCCTTGTCATTGCCTCCACACCGTCCTCATGACTGCCATTGAACTCCTCCCTGGTGCCCCCCTCCCCTTTAGTCGGCTCTACAACATCTCAGGACCAGAGCGGAGGGCCATGGAGGACTACATCCAGGCCTTATTACAGTCAGGTATCATTTGTTCTTCTTCTTCACCTCTGGGCGCGGGGTTTTTCTTTGTGGGGAAGAAGGACGGGTCCCTCTGTCCCTGTATTGACTTCAGAGAACTGAACCGTATTACTATGAAGAATCAGTACTCCTTGCCTTTACTGTCCTCTGCCTTTGAGTCCCTTCAGGGTGCCTCGGTGTTCACAAAGCTCAACCTACACAATGCCTACCATTTGGTGAGAAGCCGACAGGGGGATGAATGGAAAACAGCCTTCAAGACCTCCCTGGGGCACTTTGAATACCTTGTGATGCCTTTTGGGCTGACCAACGCCCCTGCAGTGTTCCAGGCTCTAATCAGTGATGTGCTGAGGGACTTTATAGGATGCTTTGTGTTTGTCTATTTAGATGATATCCTAGTCTACTCTTCTTCATTGACTGAACATCATAAGCATGTCAGACAGGTCCTCTTATGGCTTTTGGAGAATAGACTGTTTGTCAAGGCTGAAAAATGTGACTTTCATGCTGATTCCATTTCCTTTCTTGGTTTCATAGTGGAGGCGGGCAAGCCGACCCCTCAAAGATCACGGCAGTAACTGACTGGCTAACCCTCCAGACCCGGAAGGACCTGCAATGTTTCCTGGGTTTTGCAAACTTCTACCACCGTTTCATCAGAGGCTTTAGCTCTGTGGCCGCCCTGACTTCCACCAAGGTGGGGTTCGCGTAGACCCAGGAGGTGGAGCAGGCCTTCCGGGAACTACCTCAGCCCCGGTAGTCGCCCACCCAGACCCCGCTAAACAGTTCATTGTGGAAGTAGATGCCTCGAAGATGGGAGTGGGAGCAGTGCTGTCACAACGATCAGAGGCGGATCACCACCTTCACCCATGTGCGTACTTCTCCAAATGGCTTACGCCCGCAAAATGCAACTACGATGTGGGCAACAGGGAGCTTCTTGCAGTGAAGATGGCCCTAGAGGAGTGGTGTCACCTCCTGGAAGGAGCGGAACAACCCTTCATTGTTTGGACCGACCATAAAAACCTGCCGTATCTCCAGTTGGCAAGGCGCCTTAATCCCAGACAAGCCCGCTGGGCTTTGTTTTTTGGCAGGTTCAACTTCACCCTCACCTACTGCCCTGGCTCACGCAACTTGAAGCTCGATGCCCTGTCTCAACAGTTCCTCCCAACAACACCCAAGGACACTCCTGACACCATACTACCACGTCCTGCCTCATTGCCACCGTCACCTGGGAGATCGAGGACATGGTACGAGAAGCCCAGCACAGCCAACCAGACCCAGGAAACGAGCCTCCAGAGCATTTGTTCATGCCTGACGCAGCCCGAACCCCGGTCCTTCAGTGGGCTTACTCCTCACGCCTCGATTGCCACCCGGGCGTTTAAAATGCCCTCTGTTGTTTCACCAACCACGAACCCACCTCATGGAGCCTACTGTTGCCCCGGACAGAATATGCACATAACACCCACACCAGCTCAGCTACAGGACACTCACTTTTCGAAGCATTTCTGGGTTACAAACCACCAGTATTCCCTGAAGAAGAGACAGACATAGCCATACCTTCAGTCCAAGCCCACATTCAGCGTTGCCACCATCTCTGGGAGAAGACAAGGGCGGCCCTGTCACGGACAACAGAACAAAACTGCCGCGTGGCAGACTGCCGCCGCAGGACGGCCCCACAGTACCAGAGCAGCCAACAGGTCTGGCTATCAGCGGAGCACATCCGCCTCAAGGACACCTCTCGCAAGCTGTCACCATGATTCCTTGGACCATTCACCACTGCAGACATCATTCATCCAACTGCTGTCCAGCTGCAGCTGCCCCAGTAACTATGAGTGCATCCTGTGTTTCATGTGTCCCAGATAAAGCCCGTATCCTCTAGCCCTCTCTGCCCCCCGCCTGACCTACCCCCTCTGGCCCTGGAAGCGGAAGGGGGCCCTGCTTACAAGGTCCACCATCTCCTCGATGTTCGTCGCCAGGGGCGTGGGTTCCAGTACGTGGTCAATTGGGAAGGCTACGGCCCTGAGGAGCGCTCCTGGGTCTCACGCTCCTACATTCTGGATCCGGAGATGGTGCGTGACTTTCACCGCTCGCACCCGGACAGGCCTGGTGGGGCGCTCTGAGGCTTCCTTTGGGGGGGTACTGTTGGGTCTGCACAGCTTTTCTTTTTTTTCTCTCTCGCTCCTGACAGGTGCGGTTACCCCGG